TTATTGACAATGTCAAAGATAGAATCTTTGGAACAATTTATTGCTCAAGCCATTGCATATAACAATTGATTATTTGAAAGATGTCAAGAATAAAGATATGGCTGGAGAGGAACAAATCAAATAATGGTGGTAGCTCTTAAGTTTTCAGAAACTTATTTATCAAAGCTAGAATCAATACAAATTATTATGGTATGTTTTAAATCCCTCATAGAGCAGGAAAAGAGTCGATGATGTCAAGAGGGCTTATGCTTATATTTTGGAAAAGCTAAACATATTACTCAACATTATCTAAAAATCAATGCAATTATAAAATAAAAAACACGATTGCTAAAGAAGACAATGTATTAAAAAATAAGTTGCTTCAACTACAATAGGAACCATGTGACTAGAATCATATGCAACATCTAGCAAAGATCTTATTCTCTTCTTTGATCATTCATCTTGTTTTACAATAGAAGTCTGCTTAAGACCAAAAAATCACAAAGTCTTAGCTTTGTTGGATTCAAGAGCCTCAACTTATTTCTATAGATGAAGACTTTGTCAAAAAAACATGATATATTCTTAATTAAGAAAATCAAACTTATGCATATAGAAGTAATAGATGGACGTTCATTATCTTCTGAGAATGTTACACATGAAACTATTCCTATAGAAGTAGCAACTAGTAGTCACAAAGATTTAATAATATTTAATGTGATTAATTCTCTTTTTAATCCAATTATTTTAGGATTATTATGGTTAAAAAGATATAATCCTAAAATAGAATATATTTCTTACAATCTCAATTTTTTCCATAGTATAGTCTAAGGTCTTGCTAGGCAAGTAGAAATCCATAAATCTAGTATATTCAAATCCTTATTAGTAAGTGCAAAAGCTTTCATGCATGCCATAAATGAAGGGCCATCTTTTGCTATACATGCTACACCCATTTTTGATGGTGAAAAGATATCAAGTAGTATTTCTAGCTTGTATTAAGATTTTTAAGATATTTTTTAAAAAAAAAATACAAATATTCTTTCGAAGTATCATCATTATGATTGTACCATCCATTTTCAAGAAGGAACTCAACCACCAATTAGACCAAGCTATAGCCTATTATAAAATGAATTGGTTACACTTAAAGAATATATTGATGAAAACTTCGCTAAAAACTTTATACACCATTCTAAATCTCCAGCTAGTACTTCTATCTTATTTGTAAAGAAAAAAGACAAATCTCTATGGATGTCTATAGATTATCAATGACTTAATAAGATCACCATCAAGAACAAGTATCCTCTATGTTTGATTTCAAGACTTCTTGATCAATTAAATCAAGCAAAGATCTATACAAAAATAGATCTACGAGGAGTGTATAACTTAGTCTGCATCAAAGAAGGAGATGAATAGAAGACTACTTTCCGAATTAGGTATGGACATTTTGAATATAATGTCATGCTTCTTGGACTCACAAATGCACCATTTACTTTTCAATATCTAATGAATGATGTCTTTTGTAAGTTTCTTGATGATTTTATCATCTATTATTTGGATAAAATTTTAATCTATTCTAAGAATATAAAAGAGCATGAAGTTCATGTTCATCATGTATTCCAAAAACCAAAAGATACAAAATTATATGTGAAGATGGAAAAGTGTGTATTCCACATTATTCAAGTTGACTTTTTGGAATATATCATTTCCAATGAGGGCCTTATGATGGATCCAAAGAAGATGTAAACTATCATAGAATGGAAGATTCTAAGAACAATAAGAGATGTCCAATGCTTTTTGAGCTTTGCTAATTATTACCAAATCTTTATCAAGAACTTTTTTCTCAAGTTGTAGTTCCAATTATACATTTGATTTCTAAGACAAATTTGAGTGGAATAAAGAAGCCAAAACATCATTTATTGCTTTGAAGAAGGAATTTACTTTTATATCAACTTTGTATTGTATCGACTTTTTTAAGGTATTATTTATAGAAATAGATGCATCAAACTTTGCCTTACGTGTAATATTGTCACAAATGGGAATAGATGACAAACTCCATCGAGTAGCTTCCTATTCTAAGAAATTTTCAACAGCCAAGTTTGACTATGACATCTATAACAAAGAGCTTCTTGTAATCATGGATTCATTTCAAGAATGGTATCATTATCTAGAAGGCACTTTAAGTCCACTCATAATATATAAAAATCATAAGAACCTTAAATAATTCATATCAAGACGTGTTTTGAATCGTCGCTAAGCCCATTGGAGCATGTTGTTATCAAAATTTTATTTCAAATTCACATATTGTTCTAGAAAATAACAAGGTTTATTAGATGCTCTTATCTTACACTGAAAGAAAGAGACGTATCTTTTGATCAATAAAGAATAATTTTCTTGAAGCTAAAGCATTTTCATCTTCAAACACTGAAATCAATATTGACTGTTGATTTGACCTTTGTTAAACAAATTCAATCAAGTATATCCTCTGATCCTCTTATTCATGATATCAAGAATCTTTCTTTTAAGTCTCATGATGTTTCAAAGTTTGAGTTCAAGAACAACCTTCTCTACTTTGAAGGACACCTATATATTCTAAAAGGAGAAGCACATTTATATGTTCTTCAAATACGCCATGACTTTCCAGTTGTAAGACATTTTGGATATAATATGACTTTAGAGCTTATATGTAGAGATTTTTGGTGGTCGCAAATGTGGAAGGCAATAAAAGACTTTGTTCGGTCATGTAACATTTATTCAAGATCAAAAACTTCTTGTTATTGATTCTATGGACTTTTTCAACTATTGCATATACTTGAGCAACCATGATCTTTCATTTCTATGGATTTCATTACAGATCTTCTAAATTCAAGTTTATATGATTCTATATTCGTAATCATAAATCAGTTCATCAAAATAGCACATTTTATACGATGTACAAAATCTATTTCAAGTGAAGAAACAACTAAGCTTTTTATTGACAATATCTATTGTTATCATGGATTGCCAAAAGATATAATATTTAATAGGGAGACTCAATTTGTATTAAGATTTTGAAGAACCATATTCAAGATTCTAAAGATACATATAAATCTCTCTTCAACTTTTCATCGTCAATCTCTTGGATAAATAGAATGGATGAATAAAGTTTTGGAGCAATATTTAAGGTATATCATCAACTATCATCAAGATGATTGGACAACTCTTTTGCCATTAGCAAAGTTTACATATAATAATTTGATATATTCTTTTATTCAACAAACATTTTTTTTGCCAATTATGATTATCATCCACAACTTGATACTTTTAACTTTTCAAAAGTAGATAATCCTACAATTGAAGATTTAGCAAATCGTTTGTCAGAGCTACATACAACAATGAAGACATAATTAAAGGAAGCTCAAAAATGACAAAAGACTAATATAGATACTTATTGCAAAGAGCAACCATAATTCAACATAGGTCACAAGATATGATTACATCATCACAATATCAAGACTATTCATCTTTGTGATAAGTTGGACTATTATAAATTAAGACCTTTTCCTATTTATGAACAAATCAATCCTCTTGCTTATTGATTATATCTATTAGAATCTATGAAGATCCTCTCTGTATTTCACATATCCCTTTTTGAGCCATATAAGATAGTAAATAACTTGGGAATAAGACAAATACCACCTCGTCTAATAGAAGTAGATAATAATCAAGAATTTGAGGTAGAAGAAGTTTTAAATTAAAGGCAACGCTGAAATAAGTTAGAAAATCTTATTCATTAATGTGGGTATGATATTAGCAAACGTATATGGGAGCTAGCAAAGAATCTTACAAATGCAACAAAGAAGGTTGAGGCCTTTCATCAACAACATCCATCAAAAGCAAGATAAAGAACTGTAGAGATCCATGAAAGATGATGACCACTTCTCGTAGAACTCATTCCTAGAAAGAGGGGTAATATCACAAACATATACATTTATCCCAATAGTTACTTATATGATTAGGTAGAAGTAGGTAAATATAGATTAATTTCATAAAGTCTTCTAGATAAGCTTCCTAGAAGCTTTATAGATCTAGTTTTGACTTTAGATGTATTTATAGATTAGAAACTTGGCTAACAAGTTAACTCCGTATGATAGCTTGTGGAACAAGTTAACTTTATATAGTAGCTTGTGGAACAAGCTAACTATGTGGCGCATACATAGATAACTTGTCTTACAAGTTAAGACATATGACTAGTCAATACATGTTGGAGGTCCTATAGAATATTGCCATGTAGCTCTTAGTTAGAGAGTATATATGGAGGCAAGAATGAAACCTTCTTCACTCTTGTCAACGCCTTTCTAGTCCTTACTCTTGTTTCAAGATTCTAGTCTTCTTGTTTTTGGCAATAGCCATTTTAGTTTAATATTACATCACCTTTTGAGTGACTTTCTAGTTCCCTTCTCTAACATAAGAGTGTATTGAGGATTCTCTTTCTTTGAGATTCATGTCTGACAATTGTCATGCTTGACTAAAATCCAAAATCTAAAATTAAAGTTGAAATCCGAAATCGAGTGTCACATTTATAAATAAATAAAATTGTGTCCAACTTGTGACCTCGTCTCCCTTTGTACTATTTTCAAAAATATAAAACTTCCACAAAAACAATCATCAACTATTGGAAACCTTCATCAAACTCATGTATAGTGACCTTTCAAAATGGACTTCTAAATATTGCCTCCCTAAATTGCAAATGTATAGGTCTGTCTGTGTGTCTGCACAGGATCTACTTGTTTAATGATTGTGGCCCAGTTCCAGGATGTGATTTATCTGCAAGTTCCATTCGTTCCTCATTCATCAATGGACTGTCGGTAAAGGTCTGTTGGTTGGAATGGATCTTCGTTCAATATCTTCAAAGAGCTGTTTCCGGCGTTAAGCAGGAAGCACATCCAATCACACAATAACAGCTAACCACACATGACTATTGTGGATGGAGCTGATGGATTTGGCAAGGAGCTGGCTGGGGGATGAACGTTCACGGGCGAGTGGAGGCAGCGAGCACTCCGGGTAAAGCTCTGTGGGAGATGTTTTCGGAGCCAATTTCAAGACTTAGTGGTATAGATCTGTCCTATGCTTCATCTTTTTCGTCGAAGTCGCGCTTTCGAGGTCTTCGCCTCAGACAAGTCTCGGTGGGTGCAGAGGTCGATTCTTGCTGCGGCAGCTCAGGTTGTGGGAGGCTGTTAGGTTGCTTGAATGGCACCGGATTCTAGCAATGGTGCGTTACCGAATCAAGGAAACCAAGTAGCAGTTACAAGTTTCATTGACAGTGACGATGAGGAGTGTTTAGCTAGGGATCAGATCAATATCCTTCATTGGATCGAGAACAGCGAACGACATAAGAAGGCTCTTCAGTTCTGGGAAACGCAGGATGCGTTGTGTACTAGGAGGGTCGACAGCAAGAGAAAGCAGAGCGCGGCTGCGAAGAACGAGGTGTATCAGCTGATAGGGTTCTACAGTGTATTTCAAGGTGTGTTGCTAACAGCAGTTGCGCAATCGAATATGCTGCATTGCAACCACTGGTATTTCCCGTTTATTCTCTCCGCGCTCGCATCAATCTCTGCACTTGTCGGAATCTGCCTGAAATTTAGAACTGTCCGGAAACTGGAGAAAACTATCGATTCCGAAAAGCAGTCACGGCAGGTACAGTTCCGTCGCCTTGGTGTTTGCAATGCCTAATATACTATCTAGATTAAAACTGCGTAGGTAGGTGAATGTAGATTGTGACTGTTAGTCTTACTCCGCTCTTCCGAGCACCCATGCCATACAGAAGAAACACTGCGTCCACTGTCTGACCAAACTTATGACAGTTGGGATCATCTTGGAGAACTAGTTTTCAAAAATTGGTCTTCGAAGTTTTTGTTCTGTAACCTACTTTCCGTGTCTGCTTTTCAGATATTTGTCAACCGAATTCAAAAGCTTCGATGGCTTGGACAAGATTTTAAGTTCTCCAGAGACGCTCAAGACGGTGGGAAAGTGAACAGCCGCAGAAATACAATCTTGAACATCAGTATTGTCGCTGTGATGCTTCTAATGGTGGGGTTCTCAGGCACCTTTCTTGGTGCAATTCATCGGATTTTGTGCAACCCCGGATACTCTCTCTTGCCAACCCAAGACGTTTCTCCGGTGGCCAAGGGCGGCTCCGTCTAAGGAAGCGATCTTCGAACGGGGATCTTGGAAAGGTGGGAAACATTTTCCTCTTGAGCGACCTGGTATGTCCGAGATGTTTTGTTTTCCTGAACTCCCGTGAAAATGTCGGATTGGGTGCTTCAAACATGAGAGACATGCGTGGATGTGCATTCATGGTTTGAGTGGGATGGAACAAACCTGCGTAATCCACTCAAATCGACCCTCCAGCTTCGAGCGGGGGGGGGACATGACAGGGACATGAATGTTGGAGACGGAGGTCTTCTGAGCGGACGTCGCATCCATCGGTTCCAATATTAGGTGTGCGTGAAGACTAGGTTTTACATACTTATTATGCTTGCCGTTTCATCGGAACTGTTAAATGCGTGTGCAGGATGGTTGTTGGGCATTTCCATCATCTACGATGAAGACGAAGTTCCTCGACGACTCGAGTTTAACTATCAAATTGAAGGAAGGTAACGCGGGAGCGTTTCGCTAAATTTGTGAGTTGTTAAAAACAGTCTCTTATGAGGTAGAAATAAATCCAAATGCCACGTATCGAGAGTACATGGCGGCCACTGGAAGTAAAGGAGAAAGACTTATATTATCGGAAGAAGTTTATAAACACAGCATTAAAAGAATAGTAGATGATGATTCAAAGCCGGAAAAGTTTAGATTTCAGCTCGAGAGCCCAAGAGTTGAAGGTGGAACCCATGCACCGAGGCAATTGCTATTCAAGTGGTGGGATAAATTGATTTCAAAAATTAGACCTGGAGAAGCAGGTTCTGGTGAAGATTGTGGAAGTGCAAAAGGCAGTTGAGGCCAGAACGTGGTTCCCTCTCACCCAGATGCAGAACCGAGTCCGAAAGGTAGTGGAGGCTAGAATTTGGATACCTCTCGCTCAGATGCAGAATCGAGTACGCTCGCCAGCTGATGTGAGAATCCAATTATATCAGTCTATTCCTGTGCACCTTTCGCAGGCCCATCAGGCGGTGTTGGAACAAATGTAGTTTCTGCGGATTGCAGCAAAGCTGCTTTCGGTGGAAGCAAGGGATCGGACGAATCGTGCCGGCCCATGTTCTGGTCCATCGAACAATCACAGGGCTTCCACCTTTTGATGGGAAGTTTTGTTGGTGAAGTCAGCTGGTCGAGTTAAACATTCTGGTTCCTGAATATATGTATATTTTATACCGTAGAGAAGTGAATGATTTTATCTATGTTAACTATCCTCGGTTGTTTGATACGTTTGAAGCATGGTGAAAGAGAAAAGATGGGATTGTCTATTGATAGTTGTCTATTATGGCAGGGTTGAGGTGTGAATGAATGTGTTATTGTGAAGGCAGAAAAGGAGCTTAAAATTCTTACAGTTCTTTTCAAGTTTCTTTTTATTCATAACAATTCGTAGTAAATTAAGTTGGTCATTTCGAAATAATGCATAAAATGATATTTTTTAGAACGCTATGTATGCTTAAATTTGTAGGGAAAACATCGAACCAAAACTTAATAAAACACGTGAATGTGTATTAGGTGATTAGAAAAAATGCAGATGGGAAATATTACAAACATTGTTTGGGAACCTTCAAGCCATTTTTCATCCTCATTCCGCTCGAGTTTGTCTGCTATTTTGATCTCTAAAGTAAAGGTAAAGTAGATTCATTGAGGAAATTGTGCATTAATAGTTTTATACACAAAACATGCAATTTGGTATACGATAAACCAGGTATGTTATTTTGATTGTTATGCCATGTGTATAGCTCGAAATGGTGATCTTGATGGGTGAAATGTTCAGAAAATAATTGTTTTAGAGCGTTTTATAACATTGAAGGATATAAGTGTTATGCACCAACGTTAAAGATGACTGTGTTTTATTCATCTCAAGTAACCTATTTTTGATTATTTTATTTTGGATAACGGTTCTTTGATGGAATTGAAGTCGGTTCTAAAAATACTAAATTCAAGAATTGAGAAAAAAATTTTGAAACATTAAATGGTATAAAGAATGTACAATTTACTGTTTCCTTTTTCCGATCAATTCTACTTCAATCTTTACTTTACTTTAGAGATCAAAATAGCAGACAAACTCGAGCGGAATGAGGATGAAAAATGGCTTGAAGGTTCCCAAACAATGTTTGTAATATTTCCCATCTGCATTTTTTCTAATCACCTAATACACATTCACATGTTTTATTAAGTTTTGGTTCGATGTTTTCCCTACAAATTTAAGCATACATAGCGTTCTAAAAAATATCATTTTATGCATTATTTCGAAATGACCAACTTAATTTACTACGAATTGTTATGAATAAAAAGAAACTTGAAAAGAACTGTAAGAATTTTAAGCTCCTTTTCTGCCTTCACAATAACACATTCATTCACACCTCAACCCTGCCATAATAGACAACTATCAATAGACAATCCCATCTTTTCTCTTTCACCATGCTTCAAACGTATCAAACAACCGAGGATAGTTAACATAGATAAAATCATTCACTTCTCTACGGTATAAAATATACATATATTCAGGAACCAGAATGTTTAACTCGACCAGCTGACTTCACCAACAAAACTTCCCATCAAAAGGTGGAAGCCCTGTGATTGTTCGATGGACCAGAACATGGGCCGGCACGATTCGTCCGATCCCTTGCTTCCACCGAAAGCACATAGTCGGCCGAATTTTGACCATCTGGTGTGCGTGCAGAAACTGAATTTGTTCCAACACCGCCTGATGGGCTTGCGGAAGGTGTTCCGGAATAGACAGGAGCATCTCCACGACGTGGAACTCGATTCCAACATCCGCTGGCAATCGTACTTGAAGCTGCGCCGGGCGAGAGGTACCCAAACGCAGACCTCCACTGCCTTCTACACTTCACCAGAACATACCTCTCAACTTATACAACCACTTCGAATTTCCATGTGACGATGAGTTTAGTGAAGGAGTTCCTGGAGTCCTGGGATTTCCAAACTCCAACCTATACTTCTGCGGGGCAGTTTCATCATCTAATATCGTAATAGTGCCGTAATCTTTAACTTCTTCCGCAAATAGAAGTGTTTCTCCTTTACTTCCAGTGGCCGCCATGTACTCTCGATACGTGGCATTTAGATCCACATCTATGGGATACTGGGCTTTTGACTCCAACTTAAAAATGTCGAGGAAAACTCCTGCATTTCCTGCCTTCAGTGTGAAAGGTTTGCTCGTGTTGTTGATTATCACCGTTTTCATCGTCGCTAATGGAAATGCCCAACCACCGTCCTGCACACATGCATTTGACAGTTCCGATGAAACGGCAAGCATAATAAGTATGTAAAACCTAGTCTTCACGCACACCTAATATTGGAACCGATGGATCCGACGTCCGCTCAGAAGACCTCCGTCTCCAACATTCATGTCCCTGTCATGTCCCCTCCGCTCGAAGCTGGAGGGTCGATTTGAGTGGATTACGCAGGTTTGTTCCACTCCACTCAAACTATGAATGCACATCCACGCATGTCTCTCATGTTTGAAGCACCCAATCCGACATTTTCACGGGAGTTCAGGAAAACAAAAACACCTCGGACATTCCAGGTCGCTCAAGAGGAAAAATGTTTCCCACCTTTCCAAGATCCCCGTCCGAAGATCGCTTCCTTGGACGGAGCCGCCCTAGGTCACCGGAGGAAAGTCTTGGGTTGGCAAGAGAGAGTATCCGGGGTCGCACCAAATCCGATGGGTTGCACCAAGAAAAGGTCTGAGATCAATCCTATCACACAACACACAAAATATCTCACGGAACACCACACTATTGCCTCCGCTGTTTAAGATTGCCCTACCGACACCTACTACGTGGTCCTCTTGACTCGTTAACGGACCACCACTAGACTCCGGTTTCGTTGATGCAAACAGACAGCCTCCTAAAACTTGAATCAACCTCTTCTCTTACCAACGATTCTCCAAAGACAAGACCCTCAAGCGTGTGATTCCTGGGCTTGCGATAAAAATGTCGAGTTCGTCAACAACCGAACTGTTAAAAAGGGCTCGATACACGTCTCGTACAGAACTGTGCGTGGAGTGCTGGCTGCCTCTGGTCGTCCATGAACGTTCATCCCTCTAGACAGCAACTTGGTGTTGGTGTCAGCTCCATCCACCAGAGCCCTTTCGATTTGCTGTGCTTGGTGCTTAACCCCAGCAACAGCTCTTTACGGGCATCTCTTGAATGCAGATACAGACCAACCGACAGATATTTACCGACACTTCGTTGATGGATGAGGAACCAGTTCATCTTGCCAGTGGATGAACATATGCCACTCATTAATTGAATGGTCAAGTGCTTCTCCATGAACTATAATATAATATCCTGATGTTCTTTGTTAAAAGAACAGCGGGATATTATAACCTTGATATAGTGGATTCATTATACAACCTTCGAAGCCATAAGAAGCCTGACGCTAAGGTCATTTCACTCTTCATACTTAAATTTAGCAAAAGAAGTCCCATGCCTAGGTTATCACACTCTTAAAACTTATATTAAGAAAATTCATTTTTTTGGTTGTATATCAATGTACATTATCATCTTAATGGTAAGAAGCAAAATAAATTTTAACAAATGATGTGAACAAATTCAAGCAATGAACCTGTAGAATATTATCTTGCTTTATTATTTTTTCTTTTAAAATCAATGCATATGGTATAAAAAAATATCAAAGTAAAATAAATTAATATATTTAAATTCATGCTCTTGAAATTTGCATTAAAAATATTAATATTTAAATTTTTTCATGATAATTTTATTATTTTTATCTATTAGCTAATTTAAAAATAATTTTATTTCAAGAAAATATATAAATAAAGAGATAATATCTAATCTTTACTTATAGCAATTACTTAAGTATATTATTATAGTATAAAAATTATTTTTTTACAATTGGTATTGTGTTATCTAAAAATTACCTTTGGACTGTATTTTTTAATATATTATAGAAGGATTTGATTTTACCTTCAAGTTGGATTTACAATCCAAAAAAAAATTAGTATAAGATATTTAATAATACCTTAGAAATTTTAAACAACTTAAACAATCTAATCACATTATATTCAATTTCAAATAAATCCCAAACAATCCTAAAAATTTGCTTATGAAGTCTTTAAGAAATCACAAAAACTCCTAAAAAGAAGGAAAAATAAAAATCCTAAAACAATTACAAAAAAAAACTAATAAAATCCTAATAAAACCTTTATCAAATTCTAATTGAATTCTAAAAATATTCTAAAAATATTTTAAATTTTCTACCAAACTCCATGAAATCCTAATAAACTTAATTAAATCCTAAATAAAAACCACATGTCACTGACATACATATTTATTTCAATAATTACCTATATGATTAAGTAGAAGTAAGTAACAATAGATTAATTTTATAACATCTTTTAGAGAATTTTTTTAAAAGCTTCATAGATACAATTTTGACTTTCCACGTGTTTGTAGTTGATTGATAGGTTAGAAACTTGATCAAGAAGTTAACCACATATCACATGCGTTGGTAGCTTATAAAACAAGTTATCTATGTGGCGTACTTAAAGATAACTTGCCTTGCAAGTTAAGATATATATCTTGCAAGTTAAGATATATATCTTGCAAGTTAAGATATATGCCTTGCAAAGTCAATACATGTTGAAAGTCTTTTAAAATATTATCACGTAGCTCTTAGTTAGGTAGTATATATCGAGGTAAGACTAAAGCCTTCTTCAGTCTTGTGAACATCTTTTTAGTCCTTAGTATTATTTCAAGACTTTCTAGTATTTTAGTCTTTGATAATAGCCATTATAATTCAATATATTATTATTTTTGAATGACTTTTTAATCTTTTTGAGTGATAAAAGAGAGTATTAAGCTTTCTTTCTTTGAGATTTATGTGCTTGACAGTTTAACAAAAGTACTAATTTATTATTTTTATCTTATTTTAGAAGTGAGTGGAATATCTTATTTTTATTATTGTATTTTGAAGGTTACAAATTATCCATCTTTTAACAAACAACTTAGTTTTTTAATGTTGATTTTTTCTCAAAGAAAATAAATTATCTTTCTTTGAAAAAAAATTTATTTGATATTAGAAGTTACTAATTATCATCTTCTCATTTTAATTATGGATTTATTAAGTTATTTTAAATAGAAAAAAAAATCATGGGTGCTATACTTAGTACAAGTGAATAAATTTACAACTATTATAGATTTTCACAAGCTTGTCAAAACTTCTAGG